CCATCCGGTATGGACGTGAACGGTACCGTACAGTCGCCGAAAGAGCTGGAGGTCTCGACGGAGATCATCACGTCGCCGAACGGCCACAGAGATTTGGAGATAAAGTTTTACTCGCTGTCGCCGAACGCGCCGATATCGGAACAGAAGAAATGTATCTTCGCGGAGGAGGTGGACGAGGACGAGGAAGATTTCAGCGATATTTGGAGCTACCACGAGTCAAAGCTGCAACAGGATTTCCGCACGTTGCTGCAAGCGGAGGAATGAACACGGGATCCGAGATTCTCTTTCGATGTGTCTGCTGGTCCGACTCGTTACGGTGCAAAGAGAGAACATTTTCGCGTCTGTCCGTGTTTGCGAACGTTCCTTCTTCTTCGATTCGCGTGCGTGCGTACACGCGAGGCTAAAAGAAGAAGCAGAGTAGCAGGGAGCGTGAACACGTCGACTGTGCGAGCGAGAGAGAAGGAGAGAAAGGGAGACGCGTGAGTGCGAGCGAAAGAGAGGTGGCCCTGTAGATTCAATTAGTTCGTCGATAGGGAACAAAGCCGAACGGACTTGCGTAGACGCGTGCGCGACCGCGTGAGACGAAAACTGCTCGAGTTTCGAACGGTAGCTATCCGTTTCTGCGAAAAACCTTCGCTCCTTTCGTCCGAAGTAACGCGCGTCGCTGTAATTATATCCTACTTCCATCTCTTCCCTTCCTCGGTTTTGTTCCCGCGATGACGCCCTCGTTGCCAGCAGTCCTGGGTGAAACGACGAACAAGTGTAACTGACGGTAACGAGCAAAGCTACGTGTCGAACGATTCTTCTTCCTAACGGTGTACGTTGTATACACGTAGTATACGTGATGTGCGTGCACTCGTGAAGCACGCACGAGAGTAGGTCTAAAGGATCGTACCTTGATGTCGGGAATACACGCGGTCTGCTTATCGATGACAACATGCTACTAATAAACGGTGGTTGGCTCGTGTCGTCAAGCGAATCGACTCAACGATAAGGCAGGTGTGTCGACTACCAGACTAAAGCTGATCGCACGAGAGAAAGATTCCCTGTAATCGCCTCTTTTTCTCTCTCTCTCTCTCTTTCTCCTCGTCCTTCCTTTCTTTCAACTTCCTTCGCTTTCTTTCCACCGTCTCCTCTTTCGCGTCGTACGATCTCAACCGTTGTCAACGTTTGCAACGAGATAACGCTTCCCCTCGCTGCCAACCACCGTCACCGGAACAACTAGAGTTGTGACTGTTTAAATCGTAACGTAGTAATTAAACGGAACGATGAATCGGCCGCTGGTCGCCAAGAAAGTTCGCGTTCCCCGTTTTTCCTCTTTTAATCACGCGATGCCCGACAGTTTTCTCCGATCCTCGTTACCTCTTGAACAATTGCTTTCTCATTGTCGAATATCGTTTCCTGTGTCGTCGTTGCGAAACTCGCTTTAAACCTTCGTTCCATAAATTGTTTGGTCTTTCGAATACGTTCGATATTGTGTTGCGTACTTTGGCTACTTGAAAAGTAGAGTCACGTTTACGCGTGAACGTTATAACATCGATCCGTGTTACTATCGAGATACTTCGATCATTCCTGGAACGTTTCTTGCGGTTAGTAGCGCAGTGGCTGGCAAATATCCCGCGAATCCTTTGTTCCTGCAACTAAGTTCATGATAAACAGAAATTCGCGGCCGGAAGGATGGCTAACAGTTTGAAGTTGTTTCGTGTTACTTGCGCGATTCGTGTTCGCGTAGTCGTAAATGCGTAAAGCATTCCTCGTGGTCACGTTGTTGCAACGTCAGTTAAATTTTAGTTGTATCTATCGTCGAGAAATGCTAAAATTGTCTGTCCTTTGCGATTGACACGCGAGATTCGAAAATCTCGTAAATTTCACTACGTGTTCCACTTCGGTGTATCGATTTCATTTTGCCTCGTAATCTTTCAAAGTTACCAAGTTTGTCCGACGTTTGGTCGACGCTTACGCGTTTGCCTTTTGATCTGTAGCTTGCACTCTGTACAAAACAAACAGATTGGAAGGCAGACCTTGATTCTATTTTGGAAAGTGCTAGGAAGTAAGTTGGTTAACATTGGAACTTGGTTGGATGTTCGCTGGTCTCTGGTTCAGCCAAGACCTTTAGTATCTTTAGCGTACAATGTTTGTTAACGTGAAAATTTATCGAACAGAGTTACTCGTCCTCGTGTCGCAGTTACTTTTCACGCGACTCCACGTTATTACAGGGACACGTGATCGAATAGACGCAAGACGAAACGTGGTCTCCAATTATCATCGGCCGTGACCTTAAAACGTTTTATCGTAGAAAAAAGGGCATCGCGTGAATTTTCGTAAGGCGTAAGACGGGGCACGGTGAAGCCAATCGATCGATCACGGTTTGCGAGCTGCGCGTCGATTGTATCGATCACGAGCTTCGCGTGATTTTGTGAAACGCCGTCGCGATAACGCTTCTCATCCCGTGCTCGCCGATCTTGTTTCTCGACCCAGCACGAGTCCGCGAACTTTCATCGTTTCGTACGCGAAATCAGACAGAAAAAAAACACCCGTCGCATATTTAACAAACATACACACATGTATACACACACACACACACGTATCCATTACCCACCATCCTCTTTCGTTTAGACTGTAAGCCTAGATGTTAAGGCGATTCACTTAGATTATCACCGTTGTCTATATGTGTATAGGAGAAGTCGCGTATTAAACGGTCCGCCTTTTATTTACCATTAGACTGTTAGGGGATATTAGAGACGATGCGGCAATTTCGAAGGCAACGAAAGAGCGTGCCGCGAAAATCACCGACGACTAATTAGGCTTAGCGCGTGCGTGCTTCGCGTCCGGGGTTCAACCAACGAGACGCGCAATCCAAACGCGAAGAATTATATTAGCAATATTTCTCTCTTGCTCTGGTCCTCATCGTGCATAGCAAGTTTTATTGCTAAGTAGCAACAGATAAATATTGATGTTGACTCTTGTTAAAGCAGCAACAACCGCGTATCACATACCAAGCCAAGAGATAATCGTTGCTGCTTTAATAACATCGTCGTTCGTTGATATTTTTCTTCGAGTGTAACGCCGTTTGCACGGTATCACGTTCGCTGCTGTGTAACCAAACGCGTGTCTTACCCTGCCTGTATAGTGTTCACCAATAAATTCGCCACCACGTTCTTCCTTTATTTTTCAATGTATCACGCATTCTTTTCTTTTCTACCGAGCAGTGCATCGTTCGTTGGCAGCGTCCGTGGAGAAACGATCGGATGCCACTTGCAATCCGCCTTTCCGGAATAAAGGTTTTTCGCTCGAGAACGCATCACCGTCGCCGCCAATCCGGATACATGTTGCGGAACGAGTTCGTAGTACGATACAGCTTCGACGATGATACCGTTCGCCCCTCCGCCCCCGAAGTTTGTTCATTTATTGTTTTCACAAACGATGAACGGAGGAAAATTTAATTTATTTGCGACGAATCGTCGAGTCTCTTTTTGCTTATGGAACAGTGCCGTGGTATACAAACCTGGTGTCTCGTATACTATATGAAACGTTCGAAGGCTGCAGCTGGAGAAACGAAAATTGATAAAAACGATTCGAACGTATCGAGATGAAAAAAGTTGCCTGTTTCGTTTTGTTAAACGATGCCGCTGTTCAGACCGGGAGAGATAAGAACTTATATTTGACGTTCAGCTTTTTTTTTTTTTGTAAAGATTCTATCGCGGACGAATCGCAATTGACGATCGGCGAAACGTACATTCGACCTTACTTTTATCGATCGTGACGGAGTTTCGACGAACGCTTTTTTTCCCGTTTTATTTTGCTTTTTGTGTTTGCTGATTGTGATCATTTGCCAATCGTGCTTTACGCTATTTGATCTCTGGAAGAAGAAAGAGAGAGCGAGAGAGATTCGAAGAACGTCGAAAAAATTTTCACACGGATCGCGCGTTGTTTTTTTTTTTTTTTCGTTAGAATTATCGACATTTTTGTTTCATGGATTGTTGACTCGAGTGGATTCGCTCTTTTTTTTCTTTCTCTTCTTTCGAAATTCGATCCTTTCCGCTCTCTCCTTCTGGATGTATTTATTTTGAACATCGCCGTTTGACGATACAAGGTATTGTGATAACGAAACGATGATACACTCGATTCTGCTTCGTCGTCCAGACTGATCAACGCCGGTCAACCAATGTCGCTATAGTGCTGTACCGCACTAACTCAAATTACATTGTTTGAGAAGTTCAATAAAAGATGTCTTTGATTTAATTTTGCATATCTCAGAATTTTATTAGCACCCACCTTCGAATCAGACTTTTATTGTCATTTATTAAAAAAGAAAAACATGTGAAATCAGAGATGCCAAAATTCATTTCACCAGATAATTCGCAATTTTCTCTTAACGTTTCCATATCCATTTTCATATTCGCACGCGAACGTGCAACTGTCATTTCGAATGTTTATCGAAACGTACATTTATTTTCTTGTTTACACGTTCGATAATAATAACGTACATAGTTTCATCGATAGTAAACCATCAATTCTAAACGTTAGCGACACGCGTGCACACGTACGAATGTTATCTGCTAAAAAAAGACACGGTTGAACACAGAAGAATGGTAGACTTTTTCGCGTATTCGCTTTTCCCACGTTTGCAGATGACGAAACGATAGACATTTCCGGAATTCTCCTCGTTGCTTTTACCATTCGATGAGCCCGAGCCTTTGGTCTTCATTGATCGTAATTGCGCCGCTTCTCTTTGATTCCGAGTAAAATCGGATTTATGGATTTCCCGGTAGAACACGGTTCTCGTTAGATACTGTCGACCTCCTTCTCATCTCAATCGAGTAATGGCGTTGATTGCGTGGGTTGATAAACTGTTATAATTCGCCCACATTCTAATATATCTACTTCATCTTCGAACTTTTAACCGTGTTTTATGCTGTTTATACATTCCTTGTCTCGTTTTCGAGTATCCTCGGCAAACTCACGCACGTCGCTGCTCTTCGTCTCAGTCGTCTGTTTGAAAACGTTGCTCGTTAGGTGTACGTGTACCACGGAGAAATTGAAACGCTCTTTTCTTCCGTTTTATCGTGACCGAGTATCGCGAAAGTTCTTATCGCGAAAGCTATTATCGTGTCGGGTCATTCAATTTTTACACGACCTCTCGCGTGTCGCATTAGCTGACATATATTAAAGCAAGTGTCAGAAATACTTGACTCATGCACATTATTTTAATAAACGTTGATTTTGCTGTCTTAACTGAAACGAAACGAGGCGAAGTGACTACAATCAACGATGACTAATACCGATAAGAGTAATATGCTTGTACTGACTCAGCCCGTAAATATTTCCAATTTTTTTTCCACATTGTCCACGTTATCTTCGAGTGGTTTCACGCGAATCGTCATTTTTTCCAATCGTCGTGTTCTCCGTTGACAAATCCGCTTCGCTCTTTTCATCATCGTATTTCCATTCCGTTTGATTACTCCTTTGAACGTCGCTGTATTTCACGTGAATTCTACTTGTAGGCAGGAATATCCCTTTGAAATATAGGTCAAAGCTAATCACGTCGGAGAAATTCAAATCGTGCAGGGAACGCATTCAGGGACGGCCTTTGACTAAGAATTAACGTTTCTAATGAGTTCATTATCTGATCAACGTATTGTTTGATGATCCACGCCGTAGGCTCGCAGTTAGCTAATTATTCCGTTTGACGACTACGATGTGCCCAATAGGGAACGACGAAGCGGATAGTGTATTATATACACGATAAACGTACGTGTAATCTCTGGTAAATGAAGTCAACGTTTCGTAAGAGGGAAACGAAGAGAACTCTAGTTATAATTACAATTTTTCACTTTCAATAATAACTCCACTTCACGTCCATCTTTACGTGCTATGTTTAACGAGAGCAAAACGATACTTAGGTTAAATGTAAAATAACGTCCATTGAAAAATTTCGCTTAATAATCTCGATTTTCTACTCCTGAAATTGCTAGATTCAAACCTCTAGCTTGTCGTATTAATTTCATTAAAAAATACCATTTTCCTTTTGTATTAGAGAAAAAGCTGTTTTCCGTGGTTTCGGTAATCGGCAAACCGTAAAACCCCGCGCGATACGATAAACGATATGTTTTAGTGCGCGACATTGAAACGTATTCGTTGTACACGTTGTAGTCGAAGTGTGCTTGCGGAAGTATGAATTTCACGTTGTTATTACCAGAAGCTGTGAATACATGTCGGTGTGTAGTTGGATCGTCGCTGTAGAAGAAGAAGACGAAAAGAGAAGAAGAATCGTTTAGAAGCATCCGATCTCATTGGCCACTCGGACACCAGACAAATGTAACATTGTTTCGTAAAAGTTTAGACAGTGACTGTGTACTTGTGTGTTAATATACGTATATTTATTCGATAGCGTGTTTTCCTTGGCACTGAATACTTGCACCAACCATCGAATCGCACTAATTCGACTTGGCTTTGGTATCGTATGATATTCACCGAATGCGTATTTCACGTATCGTCGTAATTAGCTTTGACAATTTTCTTACAGCGAAAAGTAACGCTTGAACGTGTGTAAGTTAAAACATAAAATTTGAAATACGAGTTTAACACGTTGACTGGCGCGCGCGTTTTCACTGAAATCTCCGTCAGGCCAAGCGTTCTCTGCTAGCTACCCCCATCGATATTTTAGTAATGCGAGTAAATAATTTTTTTAATAAACCATTTTTGTGTTACATTTATAACAATTCAATAGTTTTATTATTTCCTCTAGAATATCTTTTCAAATACCTGCGACGATCCTTCGCAAGTAGTCAAATAAGCGTCACCCGAATACGGGTGACGCGGTCCTACCGGAAACTCAACAGTCAACGTGTTAAAACGTGTCAGAAAATTACGAAAAATACGAAAGATCATCTGCGAACTCTGCTGCCTCATCTTCGAGCAAATATCTCTTTGTCGTTAAAGGAATATCTCGAATTTGCTGGAAATATAACAAATCGTTATCGTTAAGCGCCAATGTTCGCGTCAATTGTATTCCAGATTTCCTCAAAACGTAAAAATTCTCTCTGCAAGTTGAAAGTATAGCGAGATTCGAGCATAGAAAATTACAGGATCGCAGCAGCAAGCAAAGTTAGTTCTCTGTCGATTCGAGTACGACATTGAGAAATTTTCGTTGTTTGAAAGTCAGTGTACGCATCTGAGATGGAAGTAGAGACGTATGCGTTGGCGTGTTTGTCATACATGACAGACTCGTTGCTTGTGAAAATGTAAATATCTCGCGCAAGAGAAACATCACGAAAGGATGCCAGAGCTTCTTTCGCCGAGACACTTGGTCGTTGAGCAAAAGTTGCGCTACCAGTGGAACCGGAAACGCGTGCGTTTAACGTACTAAAGCGATTAATCTTCGCGTTTGTTGAAGCGGAGAAAGGCGATTAAACTGGCAGATAATTCGCTGTAATGGCTCCCTTTCCGTTTTAACGATAGGGTATATGATTTCTGCCGACGAGTTATTCCTTATCTTTAAACTAATATACAATTTTATCGTTCTATTTAATCAGTGAATTACTTAATATATACTTAATATATATATATGCGCGATCTCTTTGTTTGAACCTATTGCGGCCAAAATCAGTTGCTCGGACTTCGATTTAGAGAATCTTTCAGTTTACAGGAAAATTCAGAAACAAATGAGAAATCACAGTGGAATGTGAAACGAATCATAATCGGTATGGAACATTCGTTGGATGATCGTTTTCGTAGTAAGCTCTCGATTCGTAAAAGTTTGCGCGGAGAAATTTGGTTCGTAGAGGCGCATGAGACGAAAGAGGCGCGAAGCAGAAGTAGAACATTGGCAGGTAAATTTTGCGAACGCAGGGTTAAGAACGCGATTATACGGTTGTGCGCGTTAAAGCAGTGAAATTCATAATGACCAGTGACTCATAACTACCGCACGAAATTGGTACGTACGAAAGTGAAAAGTTTCGCGAGAGGTTGCGCAACGAAGAAAAACGCGTTTTAAATTATGACTAACAGCAGCGAGGCCGATGAGTTGTACGGTTGATGCGATCATTCTGCGAGCGTAATCTACTGGATCCGTAGATTTTGTAACGGTGTAGATGTCTGTGATAGAAAATAGTGTCGTGACTGTGGCAACTGCAGAAAATCGGCTATGTGTACGGGCGAGAGCGTAGATTGACGCGGCGAATGAGCGTATTTTGCGGTGGCACAGACTTCACAAAGGATTCTTTTTCCCCTTCGTTCGTGTTGTACAAGTGGGAAAATAAATGGTTTAAAAAACCACGCCTCTGTCCACATACAATCTGCTTCGAGAGAAACGAATATCGAGCAATTTCAATTTTGTTAGCCGCGACTCCGCCAAAATGATTTCTCTCGTATTTCCAATTCGTCTATTTTACCACCTTTGCTACCTAACGTTCTTCGTTTTTCCATAACGATAGATCGATGTGACTAGCAATGAAAAAGTTTCTGGAAAATTTCCCGCAACGTAATACGCAATTAGACTGCGAACGTTTATGGAAATTTAAGTTTCTCCGAACGCAATGACTTTTACGGCCATAGACTTCACCTGCTAAGTATTATAGACGTTACTATAGTTTCGGGGATTTTATTTTTCCATGTTACGCGCATTTTGACAGCCTTCGATCTTTCACGAATGCGTAGAAATCCGCAGCAACGATCCAATCGATTACAACTCACGTTAAACTCACGTCCAATGTGTCATGAAAGTGAAACTTTTTCGTTATTGTTACATCTGTCTTTATTCGGCTATCTTGGAAGGATCGTTACGTAAAGGGAACGTTGCTGACTCATTGCGTTTAGCAGCAGCCTAGCACGCAGCTGGCTTATTTCCTCGAAGCAGAATCAAAAAGAGCACAGGTGTGTGGAAAAAAGAGACTCGGGCCGCGAACGAATTCATCGGAGACTTCGATCGTGGCCCAACACGGCCAATTTGAATTTGCGATATCGAGATAGATATATATGTACACTATGTGCACGGTGGTTTCAGCCACTGTGAACCTTTCTCGTTGGTGGAACTATTCATTGAGACTTCACGTTCGAGTTTTTTACTTGTTTCATGCCTAGATTCTTCTCTCAACCAATATAAACTGTGAAGTATACACCAAAATAAAACATACTGTTTGTAAAGCCAGTTTATTTCTTTGCGCACCTGGTATTCCGCGAGTAGCAAATTTAAAGTATTTCTTTGCAAAGGTATAACCTTTTTTTTCGATTATGCCACAACGTTGGATA